GCGCTAGTTTATTTGAGAAAAAAAGATGACCAAAGTCAGGCCTATCCTGTTTCTTTCAGCGGATTTATCTATTCTTTTACAACAAAAAAATATTTCCTGATTTCTATGAATTATTCAGTTCCCGTTCGTGATCGCACGGTCAGGGAAATAAATTAATACATTTTTCACGCTGGATTTTATTAGATGAATCGTTTTGTTGGAGTCGGCTTTTGTAGTGTTCGCGTATTGAGCGATCGACATCGCGACTGATGAACCAAGTCGGGTCACGACATCGCTCCCGAATGTTGTCCACTGTTGTCGACACGGAATTTTTTCCTAACCAATATTTGAAAATACAAGAAACAAATTGAATTTGCAAGATATACAATATTTAATTTAGTAAACTGTTAACTCATTGTTGTAACATAATAATTGTAACTTGTAATTGTAATTGTAACATCTATACAGTTGTTAACTATAGACAAATGAATATTTCAAATAACAATTGTCATTGCATAGAAAACAACTCTATGAATAATTATATTAACTTCACAATTGAAGAATAACTAACCAATAAGGAAATAAGGTTGTGACGTCACTTAACCATGCAAATTCCTTTCGTGAATGAATTATGTGTTTACACGTGAACGCTTCGCATAGGTTATCAATTTATCTTGAATCTTATGCTAAATAATACATCTTGTATGCTAAATTACGAGAAGTAAGATTTTATGTTTGTTATTTTCCTTTCTTTGGAATTCCTATATTATGAAAACATTTAATTATAATACTTAATTATAGATATTAATGAATTTGATAGAACTTATTTTATAATTGAGATGGGATTTGATTCAAGTAATAATTTATTTTAATAAAATGTCGATGGCAATGGACAAGCGTATTTAACCCGACCTCCGACACGTAACTTGGGACGTCATGACCTTACAAAAAACTTTACAAAAAACACAATGGCCGCCGTGACGATCCACGCTGACCGAACTCTGAGAAAATGTTACGTGCAAGCATTTTCGCGGATATTTGTCGCGCTCGACAAACAAAATGTTTTATAAATAGTCATCTTCCCGTCATTATGATATTAAAATAAGAAATAACAATAACATTAATTTTGTAATACCAATAAAGAAATAAGTAAAAATAGGAAATTGTGACATTATTTAAAATTATAATTAAAAAGTTTACTACCTATTTGTTAACTTTAAAAAGTTGACCAAACTTGATTTTTTTTATTTAATTAATAATTTTTTCTAATTTATTGCGTATAAAAAATAAAAAAAATGTAAACTTTGTTATATTAAATCAAATAACAGAAAAATAAAAATTAAACTTGAAATATTTTTCCACAAAATCAATTTTCATATCTATCCAAGAGATGGCGCCACTAGTCTTTTAGTTGGCGGTATCATTTGTCACTACGCGAAGTATGGCGTTTGGCGCTAAAAATATTTTGGTTAACTTTGCGCAGAGGCAATATCGTAACCAATGAGGTTAATCCGAGGTGCGATTATTGCTAGTTGAAAACTTTACCAATACCCCGCCTTGTGGTCGTGAAATACCGACCGCTATGGCAATTTTTGAACGGCCGTTTAGGCCATAATAAAACCGAACGAAACCCAAAAAAGAAATAGGTCCGAACCCTAGTTAAATATCAATATTCTAGGTTATTAATAGATTAATCAATTTTTTAATTTATAAAATGTTATTTGAAAGGATCAAATGCATAACTACAAACGAACAAGTGATAACTATTTCCCATTTAAATATTACTATTACTAGCATGTGATTAGATTATCACAAGCTTATTGCCGAATGATTCATATTAATACTCATTAAAAATATCACAATGTATCCACAGATTATGTATTGTATTAAGGTGGTCTTAAAATCAAGTGACCGTAACAAAATCCCGGACATAACAGCCCATAGGATTATGTTAAGAATTGGTCATAGTTAACGGAAGTTATAGAACAGCCTTAGTATATTTGTCAGGAAACAGTAGTTTGTTCTTTAATTTTCTTTGAATTTGTTATCAGTATTGTTTAGTTTTTTTACACGTGTATTAAATATTTTAGCTTACTTAACAATTTTTTATTACAATCTTTCGCTTATGTCTAAAACGTATCGTTATGATTTAAAGTTTTTTTTATATGACATGTCTGCAACTTTTTTAACTCTACACTTGATACACATTTAATAACGTAGGGTATGACATTTATCTGAGAGAAAGTGCTGGCTTATTATAGAATGGAATTGATTGTTAATCGATCGATTGGTTTCGTATAATCGTATTACTGGTTCCCGGGGGGTCCGGCCTTCGCCCAATCATTGGGATCCGTTGTCTCTCAAACAATTATAACTACAACCTTTTTAATGAATTATTACAAACGGATGTAAATGTTCTGAATATTTTATTTAGTAACTATCATGGTATTGTCGTCTCTCGGTCGGTCGAACAGTCTTATTCAAAGTAATTTTTATATATTCTTTAAATTTTTCGAACCACTAGGAGGCCAGCTGTCCCCTATCCCCTTTTAGCGATACCAATGGATACTCATACCCATATCCACCCCATTTTGTAAAGAGTTGAATGAATGCTTTTTTACTCACTTTTACTTGCTCCCCAAGTTGCATCCTTCGTTAACATTTAAACTGGTTTTAACTCATATTGTAGAAAAAAAGTCATCGAATTGAATTTGAAGTCGGGTGAAAAGGCAGTTCGTCGCATCGAGAGACAGATAATGTGTTGAAAAGGTCTTTGGGTCCATCGGCAGTAAGATATATGCGGAATGTCAATTCGGAAGCTGCGGCATTTGGATAATGGACCCTTATCAGTGTTAAACGGTCAAGTGACATGTCCCACATAAAAAGGCTGTTTAAATATGTTTTTTACTACTATATTTCCAGTAATGCTGACAAGTAAATGGAATATTAAAACAATTTGAATTAAACTTTGTTTTCAATACCGTCTATAGCATGATATAGTTATGACGATAGAGGAATGAGAATTCGGTCAAACATATAGTAAAAACATGAAAACAGCAAGTTACGTAAAATTCAAACCACTTACATTGACACATATAAGTTGAATACGTAGGTGTGTTATTTTATAAACAGTTGGTTTTTTATCGGTATCTAAAAACTGATTCTACAACTATGCGAAAAAAAACATCCATTCGATACGTCAGGCAAAAAAAAATCTATATTCGAATCACAGCATCTACGCAATTTTAAGGCCTATTTCCACTTAGCCTCGTCATCGACTTCGCAGTCGCGCCAGTAGAAATAACTGCTAACAATATTATTTTGTTCTTGCAGTCTGATGTCTTCATTCGCAAACTGTTCTTAGTAAGTTGTAACAGTGAAGCTTACATTAAACTCTGATAAAGTGTGTTATGTCTTTTGTTTTTGACAGCTGTCGTTTTGTATTTTTTTTATTTTTAATCGTACGGCATTTCTCGGAACATCATGCCAGAATGCAGTACGAGGAATAATTATCGATGATAACAATTTGAATGTGTAAAGACGGAAGATATGTCAATTAGGTATAATCGTCACATTATTTTGCAGCGTTACAAGATTTCTGGCTGTATGAAAGGCTTGAAATAAATTGTTTTCGTATATGCAACTACGGTTTTAGTGCATTTTATTTCATTTCATTGATCCAGAATAATCGAAGATCTTGCAAGAGGAAATAAAAATGTAGAAAGACCAACGCTTTATGTAAGTTTCGGTCCTAAATATATATTTGTATGAAGCGATTAAAACAGAGTACTTTTATATTAAAGAGGTCCTTAGCGATAAGGTGTATGCAAATGAGTATAGGACAGCGGTATCATTTGCTATGCTGATCGTAACTGATTCCCGAACCTCAGCTCGTTTGTTACCCTCGCTTTGTAAGAAATAACCTCAAAGCATCGTTTCGTAGAAGCTTAATTACCCGATGAGCTAACCGCCTTCTTAAGTCCCCGATTGCTATCAACTCTGAAACTGGTCTACAGGTATTTCGAGTAAACATCAGCTTAAAGACTTTTTGGAGTCATTAGGGGATAATGCATTGGTCTACACACTTAGTTTAAAAACGAAAGCAGAATAGTTCTAACTATTAATTTAGTTACTATTATTTAGCGTTAAAGATACTGAATTTATTTATGTGCGCCGATTTGCATTTTTTTTTTCTCCAAAAGAAGGCAAAAGCTTCCCAAGCCTGCGGCCACTCTGGCACGCGCAGCGGGCACGGGCCAACCGGCCAGTAATTATTTTAAGTGTCAATAAATAATAAAGTCGGTCGCCCGACTGAGTGCTCGTCCATCTTCTTATCTCAATTCTTAATGCCCCTCTTTGCCGCGCGTTCTTTTTTTTTTTAATCTTGCTTTAGTTTTATTTTTCGACATGTCATCAATTTGTGAGTTAAATTCTGTGTTGACACCGTGAAGGTTTTATGTTTTAATCTGAATTTTAATGTTTTAAATCTGTCGTATTAGTAGGTTGTTGAACGTTTTTATTTGGTTTTATCTAGTTTATGTTCGACTGCGTTTTAAAATAATATGCAGATGGAATCGTTTAACGATGAATGTTCTGTATCATGTAATGGCTGTAATTCAATTCAGTGGTATATTGATTTGAGTTTTAAATGACTCCAGTATACTTTAACAATATTACCGTTTTTGGACGTATTTTACTGCTAAACTCCTATAATAAAAGCTTAGGAATTATTGGGAATTAAATTTGGTATGAATTATTACTAGGAAGCAATTATGCTAAGTTGTCTTAAATGCTTTATTTCTACATTACAATGAATGTTGAAAGGCCTAAAATTTAACTATTTAGTCATTGAATATGACAACTTTACACTAAAGTTCTCTCTTAGTGTCCAAATAATAATTTACAGCGCAGCAGAGTATAAAAAGTAGTAAATATTTTACTCTTTTATCACGTTAAATCAAGCTTTCTTCAGTTTTATAGAATGTTACACAAATAAAGTTGTTTTTTTTTATTTATTCCAGAGTTCGGAGAGTCCAGTGGAAGAGAAACCAAACAGTGAAAAGAGTTACACAGTGGCCGCGTGGCCGACCAGCACGACAGGACACACTGGCTACCTCACAGTGGCCACGTTGCCGCCCGCTTTTATTACAAGTAGTTATTACAAGATTTCAATTTTAAATACCAGTATAGACTTTTAACTTTCTTTTAAATATTAGAAAGGCTATTGTTAACAAATATTTATGGTTCAAATTTGAACTTTTCTATTGCAATTTCACATGAAAAGACACACGCACGCAGACGATGGTGGCGAAATAAAGTTCTTTTGGGAAGATTTATCATTTTGACACTTTAAAAAAACTGAATGTCATCTATTTCTCTTAAAACAATAACAAGTTTTATACCAATGGACTTTACGTTAACATGTTAATTTTAATTTCAGAAAAATCACCAAACAATATTGAGATCCAGAATGATTTGACAACAAACTGTGAAGCAATGGCTGTAGACACGGCAGCTTGATATACTATTTAAGTAATCAAAATAAATAATGTAAAATAATAATGTTTTTTTAATTTTAACATCCCTACTTTATACCTTTTCATCAAAATATCAACGAAGTTTTCAGCTTAAAAAACCGATAATTCGACATATTACTTTCGTTGCGTGTGAAACATTTTAATTTTTTTTAATGGGACAGAGGGAAAACCTCGATAACTCAAACCTCTACAACTTCAAAAAATAATATTTTCTATTCTCGTCAGAGCCCAAAACCTCTACAACATAGACCCTTGATACCTTAAAACCTCTATAACTTAAAATATTTTGTGTTTCCCTTGTACTTTAACTTATCAAGGTTCTACTTTATATATAAAAAACAAACATCTATTAGATACTTTGTATATTTAAATTACAAGTAAAACTACAAACTATGTTAAAATAAATACATGATTAGATTTAATCGTGATTAAATTAAAATTAACTTACAATTTAAGAGATTTATAAGCCTCAAGTTTTCGGAAGGTTAAGGCAGTGGAATTAACTTCGTATTTCATTTTGACAATGAATAAAGAATATTAATATATTTTTTGTATATTTTCTATCACAGCTAATATCGGCAAACCATTTGCATATATTTCTCTATTAAATCTATATTTTACGCCTCAAGCATCAATAGTACATATTTTTATATGTACTAGAATTTAAAAAAATCCACGTAACATAAAATATTGATGGAAAACCATGTAGAAATTAAAAAAAAAACAAACAAATTTTAAGGTTAGGAATAAATTTAAATGTTTACGAAGAAAAAGAAAAAACTATAATCACCAGTAAATCGGAGAACTAATGTAGCAATAAGACTTAATCTTCCGAAATAATTTATAACTAAAACTAAATTTGACAAGAAAGTAATATAAAATATTTTAATTACTTAAGCAACTTAAGTAAACTATTCAAGATGTATGACAAATACAATATATGGAGGTGACTATTGAATGATTGAACGAATGAATAAATGAAAATTTAAAAAAAAAAATTATATTAATACAGTGGTTTAGATATTAAAACATGACTAACATATAAGCTAAAGAGAAAATCTTACTCAAATAATTATTATCGTTTAGTAACTATATTTAAATACAAAACTAACATGTATTACTGGTTTTCGGTTATCTTTTTTTCGTGAAAATTAAAAAGTTAAATTATGGATATGTTTGTTTTTAATTTCTATAATAATTTCAATGCTTAAAACAAATATACGTTTTAGTATTATAAAACTTACATCACTAAATTCAGTATTATTATATTAATAAAGGAAATCAAACTTTATTACCAAATTTTATTGCGATTTATGTTAAAAACTCCGATTAATTTTATTTTTTCATAAAACTCATTCTAAACTATTCTTATTTTATTAATTTTAAATATATAATTCATATAAATATTGGGGTTTAATTTTTATATAATTTATAATAAATCCTTCAAGGATAAAGTTATTAGGAAATGCCATGAGTTTATTTTGTCAAAAATATCACGGACAAAAAGATCTAATCCGAAAAACAATAGTGGGACGAAAATACCCCGTGGGCTTCTTGTTGGGGTAAATTCCCTCAGTGTCACCATGTACAACGCAAAATTACATTTTAAAAAATGACTCCAATACGTCAAAAGTGTGGCTACAAACTGTAACAAACATCCATCCATCAAAACTTTCGAATTTATAATATTAGTATGATGTGAATGTTTACATGGATGGATGTCTAAACTGCTGAATGGATTTCGATGAAGAGGATAGTCAACACACATAGCCTACCCACTTTTGATTTTTTTTTAATTCCACGCGGATGGAGTGGCGGGCGATAGCTAGTATAAAGATAATTTGTAATGTATTGGAGTATAGTGTGCGGGGAATGGTGTCTATCGGAAGTCGGAGAAGTCAGTCTTGAGGTGTATGGTGGGGCGCGGCGGGCGCGGCTGGAAGAGCGGGCGCGGCGGCGTGCGGGCGGCGCGCGCGCTGCGGCTCGCCTTCACCGCGCTCTCCAGCTTGCTGCGCAGCTCCGGCGACTGCTGCATCATCGTTTTGAATTCCTGCAATACACAAAAATGCTTATGTTACAAAGAGAAAAGATTTGTATTTTACATATGTGTTATGTATTAAAATAACTCAAAAACTACTGGAGCGATTTCAAAAATTCTGTCATCATTAACAAGCTATGTTAATGGGAACATAGGCTACATTTTTTATTTTATTTTTTAATTTCACTGAGTGCGGTAGTGAGTCTGTACAGTGTAAAACATTGTACCATTAATATGTAATGTTTTTGTAAAATATTGTACCATTAATACGTTTATCAGCCACAGTTGGTTTATTCTTAGTAAGATTAATCGTTTATGCGCGATTCACAATTGGCCAGTACAGTTTAATAATTGTTGATTGCTAGTCCTGTTTTTGATATACTGAATACTGACCAACTGTACTGGCGAAGTGTGAACCGCGTATTAAGATGAGTTGTCTAGTCGATAGATAGGTATGTTGTAAGTGTGGTTGTTACCTGCGGGTACTTGGGGCCGACTCGCATGAGCCAGTGCAGCGCGAAGTCGTGCAGCGAGCGCTCGTGCGGCGCGGCGCGGGACAGCTCGCCCGCCTCGCGCAGGTACGATATCACGATCGGCACCAGCATACGTAGCAGTTGAACACCTGTATATTACAATTAAAAGTATTTTGTTATAAGACACTCTGAACTGTCAAACTAAACTTTTGTAGGAACGGTAAATTAGTTTGTCATCTCTATTTACGTATATTCGCTTACCCTTGTGTGGATCCTCTGCGAGGCAGCGGACACAATAAATAAATAATGTAAATAAAAGATATCAGTGGAATGAGGTAAGGTGAAAATTTAATTCTGTGTTTGTATATTTTATACTAGTTATTGGTCGCAATTTTGTCCGCATGAAATTTAAAAAAAAAAACATGTCACTTAAAGGCAACTTAGGCAATGATAAAAGAACTTTTGAAATCGGCTCAGTAGTTTTTTAGTTTATAAATGCGAAAGTTTAGATGAATGGATGTTTGTTAGAGTTTATAGCCTAAACGGCTGAATGTATCTCGATGAAAATTGGCATACATGTAGAGGATATTCTGGAAGAACACATAGGCTTACTTTTGTTTTTTTTTTTTATTCTACGCGGGCGTAGTCGCGGGCGAATAGTACTAGGATATTTATATTGAAGTTTTTCACTTGTATGACCATAAAGAAACAAGGAATGCTTGGTATGTGTAAGAGTGCGAGGGGGCGTGATACTAACGTGGAGCATGGGGCGCGGCGGCGAGCAGGTCGTCTAGCGCGGCGAAAGCAGCGAGCGCGGCGCGCACGTGGGACGCGTCTGCGGGCCGGCGGGCGGCGGCCGCGCGCGCCACCACTCGCGCCCCCAGCGCACGCGCCCACCACGACACCGCGCCCGCGCCGCCGCCCCCGCCACCGCCCCACACGCCGCGCAGCACGCCGCAACACGCTGCAAAAGCCTGAAAACAATTGTGATTAAGTAGGATGGTATTATAATCTAGTTGTAGTAGCGCGCGACTTTGCCCGAGACTTAAAAAATACACATTCCCCTCCCTAGCCCCTTTGTAGGAACAGCAAAAAATGGACCCCTTTTTTTGCTGTCGAGGGGGGGTAGCTTAGAAACACAAAACTTTTAAATGAAATGTACCATTTACTACATCGTAAATCGCATCTACTTTTACATTGCATTTACACACAGCCGCAGGTAAAGGTAAGACTTTAATCTTCGAAGCCGGATGATACTTTTTAGTGGACCTCGTGAACCCTTGACTGGTCTAGTGTGGAGCCCATGGAGTGCATTTTGAGAAACATGGAGCTAGAATATCCTTAATAATAACTAACATCGTTGTCCCTGGTGTCGAGGCACTGTCGGAAGTGGTTGATGCAGGGGTAGTGCAGCGCGGGCGCGGGCGCGGCGCGGCCCAGCACCGCCGCGCGCCTGTCATCGCCTCCATGCGCTGCTCCGCCGCCTCTATACACACAATTGTATACGAATTAGTAAAAATTGATACTCTCTAATACAAGAAAAGTATGGGAAGGCGATATGACAGGAAAGGGGACACATAGATATGGGAAATATATTTCAGTGCGTGTCCTTCTCTATTGATCAATGGGAAGTAACACATCTGCAAGAGATGTCTAGGGACAATAACAACTTCGTTACATTTGGCGAATTCTGCCTTGTAAATAGTAAGAGACCAATGACACCTGTCAGTTATAAAGAACTTAAATATATCGATATTATCTACATTTGCTTAATAGATAGGCAAAAGTCTTTTTTGGTAAAATTAGCTAGTTTTTATTACTCTGGAATCTCATTCTTGAAAGCAATACATATTACGATACGTTAGTTTCATGGAAACCAGCCATTTTTCTTGACCTCTTGAAACCTACAAGCAGTACAATCACATAGGTCTATACCTGTCTTGACGCTCTCCACCAGCTTAGCTAGCGCGCTCTGCAGCAACTGCGCATGCCGCTCGCGCGTGTCGGGCAGCAGGGCGGCGCGCTTGCACTCCGCGCACTGCTGCAGCAGCAGGATGCCCGCCTCCGACACCACCGGCTCGCCCTTACTCTCCTTTAGCACTTCTGTAGCTAGGTACAGGATTGTCGGCAGCAGGGATACGGCACCTGCAAAATGTAATGAAACTTGTGTTAACAAGACGAAAAACTAAATAAAACATATTGATGACAAACAACATGATACGATAAATATACTAATTTCACTTTTTAATTATATCAACAGTTATTGTTAAGTTGGATTGTTTGTGGTGAAGCGGAAATTTATTTAAAAAAAAGCTGCAATATTTTTAGCTGATACAAAACGCTGTATATCCTGACCAAGATATAACAACCATCGCCATATTGCGGATAAATATGGAACTAATCTTCAAGCACTGAATGTGATATTACAATGTAGGCGATTAGGACGACTCCAGGACGCAATATGTGTATTCTTCATTTATTACAATTTATCATGGAGTTTGGCTATTTTCTTACTAATATCATACATGCGAAAGTTTAGGTCGATGGATGGATGTTTGTTAGAGTTAGTAGCCTAAACTGCTGAATGGATCTGCTGAAATTTGGCACAGATATAGAGGACAGTCTAGAAGAACACATAGTTACTTTTGTTTCGACTCAACGCGAACGGAGTCGCGAGCAAACAGCTAGTTAATTAATATCAATACTAACCTTGCGGACTTGTCAAGGACGTTAATTCCGACATAGCAGCTAAGCTCTTGACTAGCAGCGTATCACCATGTACGCCGAGTCCTTTGGGCACTCCGATGACACCGACCTTGCCCTCCTGCTTGAGCGGGCTGAGAGCGGGCAACCTCCTCACTAAGAGACACACGCATGCCTCCAGACACGCGAAGACGACCGACTTGGAGGGGGGCAGATCACCAGTAGGCCCCCCCTCGCCCAGAGTATGGACCACTTCCAAAACTGATTGTGGTATGTTCTCTTCTGTAGCATTGGGTGCTAGTTCTGTGGAACATATCAAATATCGAGTTTTAATAAATTTTATATAATTTGAAAACACACTGAAGTATAGTTAGCCCGGTTTTGGTACCAGTTTATCTCTGCTATCTTACTATTCACTAATATTATAAATGATAAAGTCTGGATGGATGTATGGATGTTAATTACTATGCAAATCCGAAACAGCTAAATGGATCTCAATGACATATCGCACTGCTGTAGAACATAGTCTGGAAGGACACATAGACTACTTACAAAGTTTTTTTTTATTCCCCGCGGATGAAGTCATGAGCAAAAGCTAGTTTTATAGCATTAGAAAGTACGCTTACGTTTACTTAGTACGGTGTCGGCACTCATTTGTCTCTAATTAGTCTATACTAATATTATAAAGAGAAAATATTTGTATTTTTGTATGCATGATTTACGTAAAAACTCCTAGATTTTAATTTGAAAAATCAGATTTGAAAAATCTTTAACCATTAGAAAGGTGATTTATCTATGAATAACATAGGCTACATTTTTTTATTTCCCGGACAAAGTAGCAATATTTCGTTTATGTCTAAATTCACTAAGGAGAGGACTTAATGACTGTAAGTGCGTCAGTTTGAAGCTTAGCTTGTGTTACCTTTGATCTTAGCCTGCATGTTAGCATGCAGCTGCTCCTTGGCGCCCTCTATGACGAGCTGCAGCACGTCGGCCGCCAGCAGCAGCGCCTCTATGCTCTCCTGCGTCAGCCCCGTGCGGTGGATGATCTGACATAACTCGATAGCTAACGCCCTGCAACATTTATATAGGAAAAACGCTGTCATAAATTATATTAAGGTAAGGCTATACTATACTGTTTGTAGTAATTTTACTAATACTATAAATTTGAAAATTTAGATGTTTGCATCGATGGATATATGAATGGGTCGCAATGAAAATCAAGCACAGTTCTAGAGGTTAGTCTGGATGAATACGATAACTCGGTATCAATAGTTGGAACAGCTTAAAAATGACGTCGCTGTCAGATAAGGGAACGAAATCCGATATTTCCATCTAATATTATATGCCTCTGGAAAACATACAGCATTGCTTATGAAGATGCGTTATATACTTAGCTTGAATTTCGCGGTCATTCGCCGTTGAC